GAGCATACGTGTAGTTAACGATAAAGTCCCTGCGTAACTAATTGCATTTAAAGATGTCACTTGTTCTGTGTAACTGTTATCAAAGCAATAAACTATGGTTCTGGTCTTACGTCTTTCCTGGGACGGGGCGCGTTGTGCCCTCAGGGTCGGGCGTCGTCTGCATGTCTGGTGCCTCTGCTCGTGATTCGTTGTTCGTACAGATCAGGCCTGAAGCTCTTTCCTACCATTCATCATCAAGATGCATCGCTCTTCCTGTCTTCTTCACGGCTTTCTTTCAGGCTTGAAATTCAACAACCCATCTATGCACAACCAAAATTTCACGAAAATAATTAACTTTTCCGAGAAATGAATGAAAAAAAACTTTAACTTCTGAACACCCCTGGTTATCAAACCTAAATACCTAGCATGATTGGATCGGATCGATCACAAAGTTGAAAGTGCTTCCCTAATATTTTACACGAAGCTTAAGATACACATTGTAATGTTTTTTTATTTTTATCAAATGTTGTTATACACAAGCTCCGTTAGATATTGTGTATTTCAAAACCATAAATTCAGCAATTTAAAACAAAATATCGTTGTTTGTTTACTTGTTATTGTTAATTGTAAAGCCACGCAATTGCTATTTGTGCCGTGTCTACCACGGGTATCGAAACCCGGTTTTTAGCTTTATAAGTCTTCAGGCTTACGGTTCAGCCACTAAAGCATTAGAAATCAACAGCCCTAAAATTTGTAATAAAAATCGTGTTAATTGTAGATGTGTGTGTTTTTTTGTTTTGCAAAAATTATTTTAATTTGTTCATTTCGGATTCAAAATCGGAAGTGTGTAAAAACAGTATTTCTGTAGCACACAAGTCACTGCCCAAGATGCCTATCGTTCAATACTAGAACTCGTCACTTTTAGGCTGGACGATGAGAGATAAAAGATCCTCTGAAATGATATTTATATACATGCAGTATAATACTTTTAAAATATTGATATTGAACGAAAAGTGAGTTGTACAAGACAAAATATTAATCGGAAATGCTATTTTTACACACTTCCGATTTTGAATCCGAAATAGGCAAATTAAGAGAAATGATAAAAAAAAACATCCGAAATTAGTATAATTTTGATTTTACATTTTAGGCCTAATGGTTTCTATTGCTTCCCCAGCTTTCAGCTCTTGAACCGTAACATTTAAGGTATTATGCTGTTTATAAAAGTATTATCATTCAGCCGATTGACCTGTAACCACTCCTCTATATCCTGTATCTTTTAAGTATGCCATAGTCTTCACGTTCAGCACAGATTTTTCAGTAAGTTGATGATAATGCCACGACAATTACCTGCTCGACCATAATCACCTTAAACAAGGTTCTACAAATAGCAATCAATGACCTTCATGAGTGTTATAGACAATGATGGTTTACACTCAATACGAATAAAACCAACGCTATTCTGTTTGATCCAGCAAAAGTGAATATCGCCCATGACGAAATCGCGATATCTTAAATGCTCACATTTGCCACGTTACTATACAATTGTCTAACAAAGTTAAACATTTGGGTGTCAACTTCGATAAATACGAATAAAACCAACGCTATTCTGTTTGATCCAGCAAAAGTAAATATCGCCCATGACGAAATCGCGATATCTTAAATGCTCACATTTGCCACGTTACTATACAATTGTCTAACAAAGTTAAACGTTTGGGTGTCAACTTCGATAAATAAATGACTTGGTAGACTCACCTAGTAACGGTCAACTTAAGGTAACAAAACGAGTCAACCTTCTGAGATTTCTGACTGGAGCCACTTGAGGTTTGAATACACTTCTTCTCCCCTATTCTTATAAGGCCTTCATTCGTCCTTGCATTACCTATGGTCATACCTTATAGATATGAGTTTCTTCTATTTATGAACGTGTTAGAACACCATGTCCTCTGTCTGACCTTCAAAATAAAGTTACTCTGTCCAACTCGAAATTTTTATGATCTCATTACAGTTTCCAACACTCTTCGTCGTCCTCAGAAATTTCCTATCAAATACATTACACGCTGTATCCAAGCTCACAACGTTATCCTTACCGATCTGACTACTTTGTGTTCAGTCCTTCCTCTGTCAGATTTTTCCTTTCCCACAACCACTTCTTCGTCAAAGAAATGTTTTTTAAATTATGCACTTTTAGAGGTTTCGTCTGTGGCTCGAGGCAATGTAATTATCGACGTAAAGGCCTTCACCTCATGATTATTTGCTATAAACCTGAATACTGCGAGTATATAACGCAATCGTAATTTATTTATCTCGCTAGTCTGAATATGCTGATATTAGGATTATATAAACAGTTCTGTCCCGCTTCTTTTTTATTTATTAAAGTATAAGATTATAATATATACACAGTTAGATGTGGTCTCATGGTATTGAAAAATGTTGCAATACTTAAAAATAAATAAATAATCTTAAAAAATTATAAATACAGATTTATCTATAAAAAAGTGAAAAAAAGGAAAAGGTTTTTAATTGTTGTCGAGCTCCCGCGGGTAATTTTTTATAAACTTCATACAGAGAGTTGAGTACGTTATAAGCGAAAAATAATCATTTCGTCAAATCACAATGATATACTCAGATCAAGACTTTAGAATTTCCAAGACAGGGATATCCCTTGTACTTAATGGCATTGGAAAACAAAGGAATATGGATTAACTCGGTGTACCAGGACCACCAAAAAAGAAACCTGCAACAAGTCGTGCCCCAGCAGCCATGAAAGCAAAGAGCAGAATCTTGTAATCAGTGAGAATCACAAATACAAAGGTCAGTGGCAAAAGCTGTCCTTTTGTCCCAAGTAACAATACACAACACAATCAAGAAGTATTTTCACTGAAAGTGAAGCTAACAGGGTATGGGTTCACCAACTCCAGAGGCAGCGCATGGGGGTTACTATCCGTCGTATACTATATGAAGGAGTGGTGTGCTTTGGACATGGTACCCTAACAACGGAGCCTTTTACAATAAAAACTACACTGCAGAGTAATTATCAAGATGCACTATCGTCAAATAGAGCAAGATCAGAGGTGGCAACATGGGTGAAGTATAGAAAGTATACAGAAAGGGGTGGTGTGCTTTGAACATGATATTTTAACAACGAAACCTATACAATAAAAATGTAACTGCAGAGCTATTATGATGATGCACGGTCGTCAGATGGCGGCGTAGACTGTAACGACGTGGCGAGGTTCCAGAATTATTTTAATATAACGTACTCACCTCTCTGTATATATTAATCATTTACACAATTCATAAAAATATTATAAGTTTTAAAACAAAGTTCTTAGTCACATATTGCTTACATGTAAATCGATGTGAAAGCATCGAGCATGCTTATCTCCTTACGAAGTTAATTAAGTGATTTGTACACGTTCATTTCCACTGTCTTGATTTTCATGATGTTCAATGTGCTACATCTTAGGAAGTTTCTCAGATGTAATACTTGGGAGAAACAGAAAGGCAATTAATATATTTATCAGAAATTCAAGTATAAATAATGGGGTGGAATATTTATTAAGTATTTATATGATAAGTCTTAAAATAATATTTTTTCTAACTATTTTTATTTTCTAATTTAGGGAAAAACAACTTTCAATATGATTTCCGCCATGCCAGCTGTTGCCGTCCGGCGGGAGCGAAGGAAAAGCAAGAATAGACTCATGTCTGCTTCTTTTAGCCAACAAAGCAATCTGTCGTCCCTTGCGAGCTCACGTACTACTTCCCGCCAGTCAAGACGCACTCCTACACAGAGTGTTAGCACAATCAGCACCTTACCCTATTCGGAGAACCAGCTTGGAATCCCTTATCACCGCTACTGCCAAGAGAGCTACGAAGCGGAACAACAAAGGCTACAACTTATTGTCTATGCAGGGGCCGTCTTGATAGTAGCAGGATTGGTGTTGGCGTTTATTGGAGTTGGCGTTAGACTGCCTACTGCTCAAAACATCGGACTGCTCTTTATTGGATTGGGTTCAATACTTTGCTTCATCAGAGTGTTTTGTACCAGGCAACAAACCACGCTTGTCAAGCAACCCAGGTTCGCAACTTCTAGCACTTCCGGCGACTCACTGTACACTCTGGCACAGTCTTCCAGCAATGCCACAACGCCATCTAACGAGTCACTAAGATTTCACTCACTTCCTGTTAAGAGGCTTCCTCTTTCGCCAACCCAGGAAAGTACCAGCACATCAGCGACTAGCTACCGCAGCACCAGCCTCACTCCTACTAGCCTAAACAGTATTCCCGAGACCCAGATACTGATTACAGACGATTCGGAGAGATACTGACTCGAGGAATGTGGGGCAGCGATTCCGCGGTACCAGCGACATCTGGATTACTGTAAAAATTGTAAATATTCCAACACTTTCCAACAAACTAGAATGTCGCGGACCGACACACCAAGGAGAAAATGCATGCGAAAGTTAAGCGATAGCTAATTCTTCTTTTGTTTTATAGCATTGCACATATATTTTCTAATTATAGTCAGGACTAAAATTAAAAACAAAACCAATACGATTTTAATTTAAATTGTGTGACATTTTTTAAAATCTGTTCCCTGCTCTAATATCACCTAGATACGAATAAAAATATTAGATCATTAAGCTATAACGTTTTCTACCCAAATAGTTCGCTGTTTGTGATTTTGTTTCAACCAATGAGAAACCTTTATCTAAAGATCACGTGGCCTCTTCTTACGCGCTGCCCCACTGGTCCAGAATCTTTCCTTGCGAGGAGCTTATTCTGACTCCCATGTGCTCAGCTTGTTCAATTACTTTGTTCAATCAATAAACTATGACAAAGCAATAACACCATAACTAAAATGTTTTTAAAGAAAGCTACAACTCAATATTTACTTACAATATACTTTGAAGTAAAGTTTTATCAAAGTTCAATAAATAAGAATGAAAAAGAAACTACCAAAATATGAACTCACTATGGGACTTATTGGTTGGATTTAACTGATAATGAACTCACTATGAGACTTATTGGTTTGATTTAACTGATAAAAGTTTGAATTGGTGCTTTTTGATACTTAAGCAGCGGACTTCTACCCGAGGGAAAAACCTCAAGTAAGTAACTGTGCAAGAAACTTAAACCAGTAAACACTTCTGGATGATTCATCGTAGCATTTAGTATTAATAACAAGATGTTTATGTTGTGAAGTTTAAACTTCTGTTAGGCTTAGGAATGTATTAAAATCCATTACGGTCAGCCAGGTGTCGTTCCAAAAAATCAGCTGTTGCGATTAGCAACAACCCTTTTGTTATTTTTTTTGTAAAAGTTCTTATTTTGATTTATTTAAATTTATCTAATTCATTTGTATAATTATAATTATATTTTCCGATCATTAATTTCTAAATATCTTTAATTATTTGTAATTAAGTTTAAATTTACTTTATATTCTTTTTTTTTTCCAGAGTTTTATCTAAACGTTTCGCACAAACGACTTTGAACTTCGAAATGATTAATATCCATGATATTTTTATCACCTGATAAAGGTTTTGACCTTTGTTTGTTTATTGTTAAGCGCAAGTCTGCACAACGGGTTATTTTCGCTGTGCTCACTACAGGAATCGAACCCTGAATTTTAGAGTAATAAACTCGAGTTTAGCCCCGATCTGATGTTAATGATTTCAGAAGAGATGATGGATACGCAACTTACCCTTTTCTGCCACATAAGTTTCCAAGTCGCAAACGAACACGCCGAGCATGAATTAAGCGGAGAAACATACGATTCCGAGACTCGTATTTGTTTAAAACGCTTGGACACAAGCACGCCGTTATTATTTACATTTAACACACTAAGGTTGTTAGAATAACAAAGGTTAAGAACATCACGACAGCAACGGTGTTTCAGTAAAAAAAAAAAGATGAAGAAAATGAGGACTTTATCGTTAACTACACGTACGCTCCACACCATTAAACAGAGAACTTTATCGTTAACTACACGTATGCTCCACACCATTAAACAAAGAACTTTATCGTTAACTACACGTATGCTCCACACCATTAAACAGGAACAGATAATCAAATCCTTTACTAAAAACATCCGCAACAGTTTCACCCATTGATTTATACTCCAGATCCTTTTCTAAAAACATCCGCAACAGTTTCACCTATTGATTTATACTCCAAATCCTTTTCTAAAAACATCCGCAACAGTTTCACCATTGATTTATACTCCAGATCCTTTTCTAAAAACATCCGCAACAGTTTCACCCATTGATTTATACTTCAGATTATTTTATAAAAACATCCGCAACAGTTTCACCCATTGATTTATACTTCAGATTATTTTATAAAACATCCGCAACAGTTTCAACCATTGATTTATACTCCAGATCGTTTTCTAAAAACATCCGAAACAGTTTCACCCATTGATTTATACTCCAGATCCTTTTCTAAAAACATCCGCAACAGTTTCACCCATTGATTTATACTCCAGATCCTTTTCTAAAAACATCCGCAACAGTTTCACCCATTGATT